AGATTTTATACCTTAAGTTCCTTGAGCAGTTGTTGGCAACTCCTGCTGATTGCATGTCTTGGTACTCGACGCGAATTGTACTGATTATACGGTTGGAGGCACGAGGCACATACCACTGTTGGTTTACTATTGGTCGCAGTCGACATATCTACCCAACAGGTGCACCCTCACACATAGGTGCGTGTCTGTAGCCATAGAACCTTTACAAATCAGCACTATCTCTTTATAGTTTTAAGCCTCAGAGTAAATCTGACCTAAGGCATCATAAAAAGTTTCATAAACGATTTGCGATTCGATCCTAAAACATCGTCCTCAACTTCCTCATAGTGCAAACCAGAAGCAGCCTCTTATAACTGTGTAATTATCTTTTGAAGCTCATAGATAAAAATATCATGTTATGGATGAATGAAAGCAAATGCATTCTCTAATTTGCTGATTGGCAGCATGACCACAAAAAAGAAAATACAAATTTATCAATATTCCAACGTTTCGACAAACATTGGTCATAATGAGAGTATGATGGTTTCCACTGTTTCATAAAGTCATGAGTGTTCTTCAAGATGCAGTAGGTGTTTAATATACTTCAGGATTGATCAACTGAATATAGAGCGTCTGACCTACAGTTGAAAGATGGAAAGCTCGAACCCTGGTCGGGCATCGCATATTTCATGCTACCGAGGTAATTGCACAAGCTTAATGAAAAGGAAACAAGAGACTACAGGCTGTGCCCGCCATTTAGCTAGTTAAACTTTGCTTTTAAAATGTGGCACTATTTTCTGATGGCATAGAAGCGAATATCAGCGCCGCACTACATGTTCCATGAGAAGAAAAATGTTACAAATAGTGCCAGTGATGGGACTGGACGGGGAACGGATATTTCAGCGATTACAGATCTTCAACTATCTTCCTTAATTAATATTCACATAACAGTATTAGACTAACATATCTTTTAATTCAGTCACTTTCCGCATGAAATAGGCCGAGATGTCGAAATATGTGCTCTCGCGTCTCACCCTTCAAAAATAAACGATTCAGTGTGTCACAAAACGGCGGTTTGGTAAAATCATTCGTCTTTCATTCTGTCAATAATCAGAGAAATGAAAACTTTTTCCATGTTTATTTACACTGAATCAATATGAATATGTGCATATCTATATTGATAAAGCGAAATCCCTCTCAGAAAGAAGGCGGCGTGAAGCACTATTTCAAGGATTGCAGCTATGTAGCTCTGCATCAATCTTTCTTATAGGCGACGCATATATGCTTGCCTCCGCTAGTAAACAAAGGATATCATTGTCATTTCTACTTATAAATGGGCTTTCGTTTCTACGTGTTCCTGAAAAGCAGATGGGTACAGAATGATAAGCTATCTTATGTTTTATTGGTTTGTATTCTAGTATCCATTGAAGAAATTCAGAACAGAGGAGTGAAATGCATTTTGAACGCTTCAGTGGCTATAAAGAATGATACAAGGCAGTGATGCAATACAATATTGATATTGGTTTGTAAATCTTGATTAAACGTGCGTGTCGGACTCGACTGTCGATCTAACCTGGGTGTGACGGCACCATTTCTACCCTGAGCTCCAGCGGCTAATTCAGTTCCACAAGGATGTGGAGCACAATGACAGATCAAAATTATGGTTTTGTCACTCAAGCCGAGGGAGTATGTCATCTCTTAATTTATGAGTTCTCACTAGGATTCATGAGTGTCATCATCCCACGCATCGAGTGTCGTTTCTGCGAGAAATCGACCAAAAAAAGCTGATGGCAAACCGATACGCATGACAAGAAAGGAACCTTATTAGCTTAGAATCAGATTGGCCTGGGAAGATTCCTGAACAGTATAAATCGAGCTTTCAATATACATGGAAGTTGTGTGTTCATGACCTGCTTTAACGACGTTGATGAACAGGAGAAAGTGCGCGCGACAGAGTAAGAACAGTCTCACAGGTGTACTCTGAAAAAAGTTCGAGATAAAGATTCCGCCAATGAAAATAACGCATGTGGATAAAGGAAATTGGGAAAGTATAAAATAAAGCTCTTTACTTGAGTCTTTGTCCTGATGAGGCTGGTTAATTCACTTTAATCTGAGCAACCCTGAAACTGCAAATTGTGACCTTTCGGGAACGGCATTGATAATACTGCAAATCATGTGCTTTTAACAGAATGCAATGCAGAAGTTTGTCATGCAGACAAAGGTGAAATGGAAACAACGGTCGGTATCTCAGAGAATCTGATAAGAAATTGAGTTTCGTCATGAAAAGTTTTGAACTAGCAACATTAGTCGAAAATGGTGGTAACAAATTCATCCTCCTGAACGGTTTATATAAAATTTTAATAGCCAGGTTGTGCCTGGTAGTTTTAATGAGGTAAGTGATAAATTACTAAGTAACAAGAATTTACATCTACGCTGAAGAACAACAGCTCGATTTACTCATAATATACTAAACAAACAGCAGTAAAAAGCGGTTCTGGCAGAAATAAGTAACAATTAAGCATCAAATTTACCTCATTAGGTCAAAAGAGACTTTCTGGTCATTTCATGAAAAGAAAAACTTTGCAACCATTAGAACAAAATCCTCCTCCACTCACTATCAAAACGAAAAATGGATAGCACTAAGCATTTTACAGGTGGCGAAGATGAGAGTTGATAATAACCGGTTGTTGCTTTAACATAAAAGCGTTGGCGAACACAGATATTCCTGCTCGAAGCAACCAGTTTGTACACTTAAGAGAAACCGGAAACTGCCAGAAACGGGTTGACAATACGAGTACTTAGTAAAGTGATGACCACTCAGCTGTTTCCGCTTCAGCAAAAATCATGCAATACAGAACAGGCAATGGCCAAATTACGAATCAGGAAATCAAGAAATTTTAATCCGACCATTTGAGTCTGTTAGCAATGAAGATGGCTACAGAGAAAAAATATGGCAAGCATCTGAAAATTATTATATGAATAATGAGACTTAAAATCATCATCTAAGTTTGCTTGCACAGTTCAAGTTCATTTGTTCAATATCCCGTGCCTAACCGGTAACTTGGTTCAAATCATACCCGAATTCCTTCCCTCAAATTTTACTTAAAAAACAACGTTCATAGAAGGCTGCGGCAACAGTGCACAAATTTAACAAAATGCAGACTCTTTTCGAGAAATATGGTAGCTGGCAGAACTACGCTGTTGCCGGTCTGGAGGCCGAATGAAAAAGGATGAAGTTTGGAAACGGCGACGAGGACTTCCCTCAAACTAATCCACCTGCTTCTAATTGGATTGCCGTCATCGAATTTAAGGCTGGCTCGTCACCCGGGTTACCAAGGGCGCCGCAGTCTATTGGGGAC